ATAGAAAAATTTATTTTTTAACTACAATAATTGAGAGGTGTATCCGAAAAATAATTGTTGTCTGCTGACAGGTTACTTTATAGTATACAGTGTGTCCCACTATGTTCTGACATCATTAACTTTTTATTCAGTCAAAATTTTGCATTTTTTTTTTTTAGCTTCGATATGAAACTGAAAAAATATTCATTTTAACATGATTTGTTTATTTTTATTTTTTTTTAGCTTCGATGCAAAGCTGAAAAGGCATAATTTTACTATAAATGTGTTTTTTTTTTTGTGTGTCTTTTACTAATTTTTCTCAGATCTCAACGAACCAATTTCTTTCAACAATTAGTCAAAAGTTCACAAATCTAGTCGAAGACATTACCCTCAAAATTTGAAAAAATTTCCCTTGTTTCCCATAAATAAGGGAAATCTCCAAAAAAAATACAAATTTAAAAATCGCTAATTTTTTCAATTTTTTTTTACTTAAATGTGCCATAACTATTTTAAAAATGACCAAATCAATATAATTTTTATTTTATAGATATATGAGGTATTTACCTATCATTTTATATATTTTTTATAAATCTGACTCATTACCTGCCCACAAGGGGAATTCAAAATGACAACTTTTTCACAAAAAATTAATATTTTCAACTTAACTTTTGAAAGTGTTCCGGAAATACTGACACTTTTATATTTATAGCATAAATTAAAGTTAATGTATTATACTTTAATACAGAACAAAACATTTGGGACTATATTTTATCTTCACGGTGAAAATGGTTATATTAATTAGAAGAATTTTGTTATTATGAAGGTCATATGCGAAAATTTAATTGAATATTTGAAATAAGCGCAAAAATGAGATTAGAAAAGTATATTTTGGTTTCGAATAAAAATTCTTTATAGACAAGAAAATTTATTTATAAATAACAAAAAAATTTATTTTAAGTATTGCACTATGACTTATATTTATTATATAAGTTTGCCATAAAATTAATAAATAATTTTTTTAAATTTCTCCATAAAAGTTGATACACTATATTATTAAATATCAATTTCATACTATATTTAATAGCTATAATAAAAATGTATACATATATTACACTTATAAATAATAAAATTTGTAATCAGGGTATAAATAAGTAAATAGGAGATCATGTTGCTTTTGAAATAATCCACCAATTTGTTTAATTAAATTTTATCTACAAATTTGCATCGAAGCATTTTGTATGATAGTGATTTTAATCACTGTCAGATTAAATCTATACTGGACCCAACTATGCCACGTCCCGACTGTTCTGCAACCCCACTGTGCTGGGTTTTTAGTTTTAAATTTCAACATAATTATATTTTAATTAAAAATTAAATTATATTTGTCAGTTAGATCTGAGACACCTTGTATATATATATAAGCTTATAAATTAATTTTGTTTTATAGAAATAGAAAATAATTTGATACAAATTGGAAATTCAAATTACACATTTTTATTAGCTGCCAAACGATTTTATTATGTTTTTATTGCGAGCGAGTAAATGAACTGTTAAAATTATAGTTAAAGCTTAAATTTGAAAAAACATTAACATTTAAAATATATGAACTTCGGTTTCATACCAAACAAGAACGTACACGGAGTAATGAAAAAATCTATTAACTTTTATTTTTATGATTATTCTAATTATTCTAATCATACTTTAAGCCTAATAAATTAATATAATTTATATATACACAAATACTATTAATATTAGCCACTCGATTTCTCTTAAAATAATAATTTTAAGTTTACGATAAGAAAAATGTATTTTATAGTTTTATATATTTCTTAATTAATCAATTATCAAGTATTTTTTTAACTCATCCCTTAAACATTATGAGGACGTTAACTGTTTTCATTTTTTTATACAGAGTGATCCATTTAACATTGACCAGCAAATATCTTATCTTATCTAATATGTGTCTTTACGAGCCATCATAACCGCTGCAATTAACTACCTGTATTACAAGTCTACCCGTTTTATACATATATATAGGTAAAAAAAATCAAAACTTTAAAGTGAAATAACATGCAAACTAATCGACTTAAATGAAAAATTCAAACGCTAAAAATTATAAAAAAAAAAACTCTATCAATATATCTAACTAAAAATATATGTTTCCATTTGAAAAAAAAAAGTTGGTACCCTTTTAAGGCATAAGGGATGAACCTAAAAATTATCTGATCATGGATAAATGTAGAGTTTTATGTAACTAAAATAATTAAAAAAAAAAATTATTAAAATAATAAATAGTTTTTGAGATATTTGCTGGTCAATGTTAAATGGATCACCCTGTATAACAACATACTTACTTAACTAGTTTATAGAATAAAACATTAACTAATTAAGAAAATTCTGATCGATAACAACTTTTGATCTATTATTGCAGAAATCATAACTATTTTTAGATATTAAGTAGAAAAAGAGCACGGCAATATAAATACGTAATTATTGAAATAACAGTATCCGCACCTTACCTTTACTGTATATTTTAAAATGTTAATAAAAATGAATTAAAACATCATAATTGATAAATCAAGAATTATATGAATATAAAAAATATTTTCTGCATCAGTTAGTTTTTAGATCGTTTCATCATTTTGTTTTATTCTCTAATATGTTTTCATTAAATATCATGTCGAGTCATTTATTCTGAATTAATTATTAGCTCAAAAATTCTGATATCTAATAATTGCTATACTATCAGTTGGAGTTTAGCAAAAAAATAAAAACTTTACTTTCATAATTTCTTTTAAATTTTTTAATGATTATTCGTCAAGATGGGAATATACCAACTATTTTCTATTTTCTATTATTTTCTAATTCCACCTTTAAATACTATTTTTTTTACATCTGTCAAGTTTTCTTGATATATATTTCGCAAAAAAAAAAATAGTAATAAAGCATTAAAAGCACTTGTATACTATTGTTTGCTAAACTAGCAAATAACATTTTTTGCTATTGTAGTCACGTATGTGAATTGTCTATTCCAGAGACTGATATACCTACACAAACTTACACACCAACATGTATGGTGAAAGCCAATCACCGGAAGATTGGGAAATCCTAAAGAGCTGGTATTATCGTTCTTATCTTTTGAAATTCTTATTTTCGATATAGTTGATCAAACACACTTTATTGACCTTTAAAAACGTAAATCACAAAGGAAAATGCACGTTTTTTTAACAACTATTCAGATATTAAAGCATCTCTATTTGTTTTTAGATAGGTAAATAGTTTTATTTGATGATTATTTGGCATTTTGTTCACTGGAGAGTACTAAAAAAACTTGAATTTTTTAGTTAGAGTTTGAGTGTTTACCATCTCAAGTATTTACAAATATTTACCTAAAATAGGAAGAACTTTTTCTTTGTTTAAAAATATTTATAGTAAGAATGATCCATCTAAATAAACAGTTACTTTCAATTTAAATTTCTTATGAAAATTCTATAGTTATATATGACAATTTTAAAATAATATTTTTATCAGTATATCATTTATATTAGTTTAATCGGTGTTCAATTAAATTAAAATTTAAAACTGAGTCTTTGTATTTTATGTATAATAAGCTATTTTTTTTATAATTTAAAATTATAATAATTATTTGAATTCAATTTAATTTTGTTATGTTTAGAGTTTTGATAGTTTAACCTAACGTTAGTCAGTTAATGTTCAGACAAAACTTTTGCTAAAACTTTATTAGTAAATTTATATTGTTGTCTACTCATGTATTAGCTACATATCGCTATCACTTGATATATAGATTTAAAAAAGTAAAAGATGAAGCATTCACAAGAAATATTAAAATAGTTTTAAAGTGCTTTTGACACAATTTTAGATTACACTTTAATTATAATGAGAAAAATATNTTTTAAAGTGCTTTTGACACAATTTTAGATTACACTTTAATTATAATGAGAAAAATATCAATGTAATCTTAAAACTATTTATATTATCAAAATAAATAAATCATTTGATGAATTTCTCTTTTGTTCTGACAATATCATGTTTTGGAATTTTAAAATTGTGATTATGTTACGAGTTATAAACTTATTATCGTTATAAATAAAGATAAGCCGATTTACTAAAAATGTATTAATCAACAATTAAGTTTTAATTAATGAAAATTCAACAATTTATTGATTAACTTTTAAAGGCAGTTTATTTTATCCATCGAGAAACTACTTTGAAATTCAAATAAAATACTAATGAATATAAATGAGATATTGCAATAAAGAAGTTAGTCAATATCTAGAAATTGAAATATTAACCTATTAGTAAATAAATTAAGCTCATAAAAATGGATTTTTTTATGAGTACGTTAATTTTTATTAATAAAGTAGATTACATTATCATTATTATATTACTTGTTATATACGTATTTTTTTTTTTTATAAGGTTTTTAAAAACAAAATTAATTTAAACAAATTTTATTCTTATGCTATGAAAGTATAATAAGTTCATTACCTTTGAGGAGAACACTAGTGATGGTATAACTTTGAATGGAACAGTATTTATGATAATGTGAATCTAATTAGTTATGTTAAAATTGTACGTTGGGATAACGTCAATACAATTTAAGAATTAAAAATTTATAGCTGGAGCAATTGGAACTGTAGGATATTAGATATGACCAAAGAGTATTTTCATAACAAAACAATTGTTTGGAAATAATAATTATCGACTAGATCCTGTACCCTCTAGTCATGGTTTGGAAATTGAAGTAGCCTTCCAGTGATAATTCTCGCTCATATAATAGGTATATATATGTAGATATGTTATTGTCCCATATTTCTCCATTGTGTATTTAATGATTTAGATTGCTGTTTATTAATCAAATTGTAGGTTCGCCTACTTCGTTATGCAGAATAGTGTATATATTATGCTTTTGTTTTTACTATATAAATTCACAAATGAATTATTGTTAGCTATATATTTTCTGATAGAACTTTCTATATAATATTGTGGTTTTTTTACAGAAACACTATGCGGACCTCATGAGAAGCGATTGCTCAACGATTTGCTGGATCCTTACAACACGCTTGAAAGGCCAGTAGCTAATGAATCGGAACCACTACAACTAAATCTTGCTCTTATGCTTATGCAAATAATAGATGTGGTAAGAGAAAAGTTAATATTTACTACTTATACTCTTGCAATTTCAATAATAGATGTTCTAAATATGTCCATATTATAACTGTGAATAACACAAAGGACTACTACTAACTACTGAAATTATTTTTGGCCTAAAACTCTTTTTCACTTGTCAATGAATAATAAATAGGTTTTCCTAGTTTTTGATTGTTTGCATAATTTCCCGAACATAAAGTTTTATTGAAAGTACGCCATCTGTCGAAAATTCATCTGGAGGAGTTAGATTGTTTGAAAAAGATATCACGAATGAACTTTTAAGTTGGTGAAATTGGTAACATAAATTTAAGTTCCCTCAATATTTTACTCAACTATTTTAAGCTCATTAGTTTGAAACAAATATATAATGTAGTGTTCATACGAAATTGTTTGTTAATCAAATATGTATAGTACAAGAATATAATATTTCTATTGAATTTAAAAATTATAATTGATTTATAATGTATAATATTATGAAATCATAATGATATTAAAATCTTTTTTGGTAACAAGTACACTATAATTATATGCTGGGTAAAATGATATGTATATAAATAATTTAGTGGGTTTTTCAGAAATTCTAATGTTTAGTTTTGACCATTGAAATCCAACGAGTTTACTGATAATAATACATATACTTATATGAAAATAGTGATCTTAAATGTATGGCAATCTCATCTAGATGATATATAAAAAAAAGAGTATAAAATATAATTAATCACAGTCGAAAAAAAAAACAAAAAGAAACAAGATATTTCTTAACTTTAAACAAAAAAATGATGTCCCATTAGTATCATTTTGCTTTTTGTCTTATACTCTAGAATTAAGTCAATGTAATCCTTTTTTTCTATTTCTTTGCTGTTTTCCTAATTTTTATCAATAAAATTTATCTGAAATATTGTTTTTTTTGCTTTGTCTAGATCTTTGTCATGTATTGTATTTCTTATTTTTTCATTTTACAGTTAATCTTTTCTTAAATTATNTGTATTGTATTTCTTACTTTTTCATTTTACAGTTAATCTTTTCTTAAATTATTTCAATTTACACTAGCTTTGTAAAAATTTAATTCATGATAATTTTGACAATTAAAATTAACCCTATATTTAATTTTAAAATTGTTAAGTCTTAAGTATTTAGTACACTTTTAAATAAGATACTTAGGAAATTTCAAAATTATTATATTTATTTTTGGTAAAATAGATTATTAATGGATATTGCATTCTCTTTTTTCATAAAACTTGTTAGATTATTTTAATTTTAATATTTCAGTTATGTTCCATTGTATTTAAAAATATTATAATAATATAAAAAAAATTATAATATTATAATAATTCATAATTTTTATGAAACCATTTTTGAAAATTCCTAAAACACAACAATTTTTACGAATTAATTCGATATTTTATAGTCTAGTCCATTTAATTTTCAATAAATACCTATCAACTATTATGACTAATTTGCTTTATTTTACTTTTTATACTGTTTCATTCAAATTCAGCAAAAATTCTAACACTGTTTCAATAATTTTTCATATATTAAGCAATTCGATAACTATATATTTTTTTGTTTTTATGCGATATAACTTATTTATGGCATCTCTATTTTCAAATGATTTTACAAATAAAAAGCTACTTAAAATTTATACATTTATTCATAGAGTATAAACGACTCTCTTGAAATATAAAAAGAATATAAATTTAAAATTCAAATATATATCATCCAAAAAGGTTAACAAATAAAATATACATAATTGCAAAAATACCACATATTTAGTTACAAAACAAGAATTCTTTCACACATAAAAAATATTATTTTATTTAATATAATGTTATTTATTGTTATTGCTATTATTTTTAACTTATAGATAAAGAAAAAATTCTTTGTAATTCACATAAAAAGTGCATTATATATTGGAGATTTATTCGTATTTACGTTACTAATTATAACAATAACTTTTAAGTTAAAAAATAATTAATATAGAAGTATAATAATAATAATTTTTTTTTTTAGAATGAAAAAGATCAGTTGTTAGTGACCAACATGTGGCTAAGACTGGTGAGTATATGGAAATTTAAATCAAATATTATAATAATTAAATTGATTTTAAAAATTCATAATATTTAATGGACAGAACTTTTATGAAATAATGTGAATTTTTTATAATTAATAAGGTGACTTGAATAATTGAATTGGGAAAATCTCGTATTTCAACCCAAAGTAATGGGGTTAAATTTTGTTGTGCATTTATAAATACAGGATAATTAAAAAAAATCGTTTTGAACGTTTATTACATTGAATTTTTACACAAATAAAACCATTATTGTTATGTGTTTGATATTAAAATTTAGATCAGTCAAAATTAAATATTAGTCTTCACCAACACATTTTAAGTTTAGAAAGTAATTGTTAACTTAACAAGTTCTTTAGTAGTTAGTTAAATTACATATAATATTTGTGTAGCGTAGTAAATCAAACAGTCGCCGCCTTTGAGCTGATATTCAGCTGCACTGTTTGCTATTGGTTACCGGATGGATGACCATATGGTAACATTATTAGTGACACACTTCTTGTTCCCTGAGCTATAATAAAGTTCTGATAAGTGACAGCCGTGGTAAAATTTTTGTAAAATCGTAAGTTAAAGCTGACCTCAGGTACATTTCGCACAACTCAAGCTACAGCTAGTAACTAAAAATGGAAGCTTTTAATAATATGGTTTTCAGATAAGTTACCTGTCTTATATAACGATGACATTTCTAATGGGCTAACTAGAATTTATAGTAATTATGGTATTACATTAATTAACATCTAAGAGTAATAATTCAAAAGATTTATTAAGTAACCCTAAAGATTAGTAGAAGATAGGGGAAAATTGAGTAATTATAAACTATAATATAAAAGTTGACAAATGTTACTTATGGAAAGTAAAAAATTATTTTTGTGATGTACCAATCGAAATATATCGTATACATGATTTTTTAGTATTTTTTTTGTTTTGTGGTTTTCAATAATTACTTATTCTTTAATATTCAATTCTGAGATTGGTTTGTAGCAATTCTCCATTCTTCACTATTATTTGTTGCATATATTCCATTTGTAGTCTTCCCCTAGCATTTTTTCCTTCCACGTAGCCTTCTATAATTAATCCTAGCAACCCTCCATGCCTCAATACGGATATGTATTGATTTCCATGCAATCCATTAATTTCTTCTTTTCTTGCTGCTGCTTCATAAAGTTCTTCTCTTGGACATTCTTTCTAATACTTCCTCGTTTGTTACCATGTCCGTCCAACTTATTTTGAGCAGTCTTCTGAAACACCGCATCTCGAAAGCTTCTATTCTTCTCCGCTCTTCTTTGGCAATCGTCCACGTTTCGTTACCATAAATCATTATACTCTATACGTATGTCTTCAGGAGATTTATTATGGTGCGTATGCTAATATTTTTTGAAGTAAAAAGTCCTCTCTTTTTGTTAAACGCTATCTTAGCTTGGCATATTCGCTTTACTATTTCTTTTTTACTCGTACCATCCTTACTTACTATGCTTCCCAAGTATGCGAACTCATCTACTGGCTTTATTTCGTGATTATTTTGCAGATGTATTCTTGTTGTAATATTATTGCTTCTGCTGCATACGAAAACTTTGGTCTTTTTCGTATTTCTTTTTATGCTCAGTTCATTGAGCAGAGTTATTTCCATTCACCTCAGCATCTTTTGCAATTCTTCTTCATTTTCAGCTATGACTGCTATATCGTCTGCGAACCGTAGCATATCGATTTTCTTCTCATCTATCTTCATACCCAAATGTATTTTATCCCTTATTATGTTAATTGCCTGCTAGATGTTTGCGTTGAATATGCTAAGTGAAAGAGTGCAACCCTGCCTAACTCTTTTTCTTATGTGTGCTTCTTCCTCAGTTTCACAAATCGTATAACAGCTATTTCCATCTGGTATAGTTTAAAGAGTAGTCTCCTTTCAGTGTATTCTATATCCACTTTTTTAAACATCTTGAATATTATTGCCCAGTTAACATTGTCGAATGCTTTTTCTATATCAACAAAAGCTATGTATGTAGGCTTATCTTTTCTAATTCTTTTTTCGACAATTATTCTTAAAGCCAGTATTACTTCCCTTGTACCCATGTTTTTTCTGAACCCAAACTTTTCTTCTGACAATATGGATTCAGTCTTATATTCCATTCTTCTTGACATAATTATTGTCATTATTTTTGACACATGTGTCAGCAAGCTAATTGTATGGTACTGATCATATTTGTTTGCGGTTGCTTTTTTCGAGATATGAATAATCTTCACTTAGTAAAGTCTAGAGGAAGTTCTCCTGAGTTAAATATCTTCTTTATGAGTAAAAAAGCTCACTGCCCATGTTTTCGCCAGATTCTTTCCAAAGTTCTGCTTGGATTTCGTCAATTCCTGCAGCCTTCTTCTTTTTCAGGTCTTCAAGTGCTTTATCAAATTCTTCCTAAGTGCACTATAATATGAGCTATTATCCATTACATCTTCATGCTTAATTTATTGTCCCATGAATTCTGGCCCCTCATATAGCTGTTCTAGACACTTCTTCCATATGTTTCCTCTATGATTGTCTTCGTAAATAATTACTCCGTTGTTATCTTCTATTGCCCCCCTTTTTGGTTTATAATTATTAAAGAAATTGTTTACTGATTTATACAGTGCATCTCTGCTACCACTCCTTATTTGTACCTCTATTTCTTTGCATTTTTCCTCTAAAAATGTTTCCTTTGCTTCTTTTGACTTTCGTATTACAAGATTTCTTAGTTCTATGTATTTCCGCTGACTTTCAAGAGTAGTTTCATTTTTAAGCTTTCTTCTTTCTTCTATCATACTTGCGATCTCTGTTGTATTCATTCTTTCCTAGGTACTGTCGTTTTATTTTCTTTCAGAGTCTTTGATGCTGCTTCTGTCACTGTGCTTTTTATAATACCCCACCTATAGTTTATATCGGTTCTCTCATTTATATTTATATTGTTTATAAGTTCTTTAAACTTATCATTTGCCTTTTCTTCTTTTAATTTATTTTTATGTCATCGATCCTTTTTTCTCCTTGATACTATTTTCTTGAGCTTTAGGTTACTTTTCATCATTAATAGGTTATGGACACTATCTATGTCTGCTCCTGGGTAGCTTCTGCGGTCGTTTACTTGGTTTCTACATCTCTTCTTGACCATAATATAATATATTTGATATCTACCTATGTCTCCCAGCATTTTCCATGTATATCTTCTCCTTGGATGGTGATTGAAGTAAGTATTTGCTATTAATAACTTGTGTTTTGAACAGAAATCTATTAATCTGTCTCCTCTTTCATTTCGGCTTCCTAGACCGTAATTTCCTATTATGTACCCTAGGCTTTTTTTCCTACTACAGCGTTCCAATCACCCATAATTATAAGATTTTCATCTCTTTTAATTTTTTCAATGACTTTTCTAAATAATTACATGAAAGTTAAATATGCGCTATAAGTATGGCATGTTCATTAATATATTATGTTTCTTGCTTGAATAGTAAATTTCATCAAATTTTTCTAATTTGTAATAATTTATAATTATAGGAATGGAATGATGTAAACCTACGATGGAATCATAGTGATTATGGTGGAGTAAAGGATTTGCGAATACCACCACATAAAATATGGAAACCAGATTTGCTCATGTACAATAGGTGTGTATGAATATTTTTTTCGTTTAAAATATTAAGAATTCGTGGTGTGAGGTTTAGACAATAAATTTCTACTTTTTATACTAGTATAGGGCTGGCAGTAGTAGATTACGTATGCAACGTGGCCAAATAGCCGCAAGCGAGAAAACTTGATATAGTTCTAAGGTGGACGTAGATCGGTAGAATAGATTTAGCATTAGATTTGCGCTAAGGGAACAACCACTAGACAGTAAATGTATATGGTATGTTTTGTTGTTTTGGCTGACTTCCAAAGTAGTTGTTATGATATTCGTGGATGACATATTATTATAGCCAAAAATATTTCAAAGAGTTACTGAATTTTAGCCAAATACGATGTAGTTTTTATCAGATGAAGTATGAAAGAAAAACTTTTATAGTGAATATGAAATTTTTACTTATTGTTAATGTTTCTATCAAACGAGGAAATTAACAAATACATGACGAAGATAAAATTGTCAAAGAACAAACCGCACAGCACACAAATGCAACTATATTACACTAATTAAATATGAGATATCTGTAAAAAGTTCTACGGCTCCTCAACTAGAGACGCATCAGCGACTTTACGTCCTTTGTGTTTATATCTCTAGTTATTTATTAATTTCAACCATGTATAGTTGCTGTTAAATTCAAAAGAAACTTAGTAAAAGTTACATTTTTTTAAAAGATCTAACTTTTATGAAAAAACCATAAATTTCAATTAGTTACTAATAACAATATAAATGAGAACTATAAGATTAAATTAACAAAAAAACCATGTAGAAATAATTCAGGTTGGAAGTGAGACGGTTATATTTCAATAAAAAATAATTGTTTAATAGAGAAAGGTACGATTTTCAGTATTAAAAAAAAACTTCAGCGTGAAATATATTTATACCTAATATTTTTAACTGGTGTTTTACATTCTTTGTTTCTAGTGCTGATGAAGGATTCGACAGCACGTACCAAACGAACATCGTAGTGAACAGTAATGGTAGTTGTTTGTATATACCACCGGGCATATTCAAAAGTACGTGCAAGATAGATATCACGTGGTTCCCCTTTGATGATCAAAAATGTGATATGAAGTTTGGAAGTTGGACTTATGATGGTTTTCAGGTAAAATTGTTAATTTATAAGCATTTCACGTTTCAGTTATAGTATTTGATATAAATTTTTATATAGAAAAAGTAATATTTTCGGCTGAAAAATGTAAGTAAAATGTTTTACCAAAAAAATTCATATTGTAGAGGAGTATTATAGGAATTTGTTAATAAAGAAGCAGATAAATTTTTTCGACATTTAACTTTTAGAATGATTATGATTTAAATAAATTAAAAAATATTATATATGTGTAATACACGTATAAAATATAAAATACACATTGTGTATACTATATATGAGTTTTCATCTTTGAATCGAGTACGCCATTTATATTTATTTGAAAATTATTCAAATGTCAGTCATTCTCGAAATTTAAAATTTAGAAAATTTTCTATGTAAATAATTGTACTTAAAGCTTATCGAAGCTGAGGGGTATTGGTTTTACCACAATTTGCGTTTTTTTTTTGTCTGTCCGTTCAGAAAAATTATTAGTTTTCACCCAGTCGATTTTAATGATTTATACGGAAAAGGAACTATAGTTTGGTCTGGTTAAAGATATAACAATCGAAAATTAAAAAATACTTTCAATTAAATTTTTTTTTTTAATTATCATGAAATTGAACAGCCATCAAAAATGGGAAAAATTACAAATTGTTTTTGCAATAACTTAAAAAAAAAACGGCTGAATCTTTATAAAATTTTAATTTTAGGACATAAAAAGTTTTCTTTTGATATTCTATTCTTAAAAATCAAATGGAAAACTTAAATAAAGAAAGGGTTTAAGAGACGCGTGCTAAATTTCAATTTTTGAAACTGATTCGGTACGTTTGCATTTTATAGTAACTTGAAAAGAAATAAAATTAAAAAATGAAATTTTTAGTAGGAAATTAAGTAAGGTGATAATATTTTTTGTAATTCGAAAACAGATATTTTTAAACGGATAATGAAAAGGACGCTTAGAAGCAGTTTAAATATCTGACTTCTATTTTTCTTTATAAGTTACCACACGTAAGGAGAAGTTTGATGTTGTTACTCCTATGAGAGAGTGAGGTTCAAGAGTTCAAACAATAATGCAGCACAATGGAGTCAAAATTGAATTATTCCTTATATTTCATTTTTTAATTAGTTAAAAGGATCATATGCTGTAACGTGTAATGATGTACTTTGAGTGGCGTTTTTCTACGCCTCGCTTGCAAGGATTTTTGACCAGAGTAGACCGAGTTGTTAAACTCACGCCATGCTTCTAAGTATTATTTTCCCTTTAATTTTATAATTAAGTATTCATCATTTAGAATACTTTATTTCCTAAAGCTCAACTTTCTAGTTAGCAATGAATCTGCTAAATTATCAATAAAATAATGATTTTATCTTACATTGTTTGTCTGTCTGAAATTTCTTAAGATTTGAATATGGGTGTTTACGAATTTTTTTTAGAAATATTTTATCTTCTATTCACACGAGATATAAAATAAAAACAAACAGAGTTTATCTTTATTTAAATAACATAAAAAATGTTAGGCAAAAGACTTTAAATTAAGTAATTGTTCGGGAACACGCAACCTCTAATACTGGTGTGTTATATTTTTACGGATGTTCAAATCGTCAACGTATATATCCCTAAATAGTACTAATTATCAATTTACAACTTCTAATGTATGTACTTCATAACAATTTTTAAAATTAATATTAATATCGTAGATTTAATATATGTTAAAAAAAATTAAAATTAACTTACCCTATAATTATGAAAAATTCATCTGCCGTCAAATACATAAAAAATCACGATTTTTTCTGCATTATTACAATATGTCTTTAAAATTATTTTTTTTTTAGTTGGTCTCATATGAAATAAATAATAAATATGCAGTCTAAAAAAAATATTTAACTTAATAATTATTAAATCCAATTATTGGATCTTTTTGTTTTTTAGCCAGTTAAAAAACCATATACGTTAAGTATTTTAATACTCGAAAATAATCAAAATATGTTAATACTTTAATTGAACTATATTAATAATTGTTATAATATTATTATTCTTGTATTATTTAGCTGGATCTTCAACTCCACGACGATGCAGGAGGGGACCTATCTGGTTTTGTAACTAACGGTGAATGGGACCTACTCGGTAAGCAAATTAAAACTTATAAAATTGATAAATTTTACTGGTTTGATTTTAATTGTTATTTATCAATATTACCTTCCATTGTTTTACAAAAAATTATAATAAAATGTTTTATTTGAGAGACAAAAGTCGCTATAAATTATTGTATTGTGGGTATATCTAAAGAGTAATTGATTTATCGTTTATCATCAGATTTTTTCTAAAATAATAAATATATAATAATAACCCTGTGATGCTAATAAATACTCTTGAGTTTTTATTTAAATTTTTTTTATTTGAATATAACTAGTAGTTAATATTTTCTACAACAAAAACATATCTAAGTTAAGTCCTACTGTTTCATCACAATTTTTGATATAATATTGTAAATGGTTCATACTATAGAAAAGTTAACTCAAAATAATGAATTAAACTTTTTGTGTTCGTTAATTATAAATCATTTTACAATATAATTATAGAAAAATTTTCAGTGAACAAATATTCATGAACTATATGAATGGAAAATCAAAATATAGGTAAATAAAGAAAATTAAAAGATAAAAAACTTTTTAAATTTAAAAAGTGTTATCAAACGGTCATTTTCTCAGTTGGATCAATTTCTAATATCCACAATAGTAATACATGTATGTAGCCATTTAAAAAAATTAATTTCGTATAAAGGATAAGGAATGTATATTATTATTTTAGAAGATATCTAGATAAATCACTCTGTATATTAAACTTTTTTGTAATTATCTCACAACAAACTTTTTAAAATGAAATGTTTTAATCTATTTATGTGATATGATATAAATTAAACTGTATATATTATCAGTTATCAACTGAAAAACTTACATTTTTATATTATTCTGTAACATAGTTACGCTTTTCTTCTGGCGGAGCCCTTAAAATAAGAAAATTTGTCACTATCCTCTCCAAATAAAAATTGTATCCTCATTACGTAAAATTTTTTTTATGGGAAGAATGCCCCACCATAACAACGCCAATGATCGATTGATGTAACAAAAAATAATGTGGATATATTTTAAGTATTTTTGTCTCTAAAATAATCATGCGTTTGAAAATTTATTTACTTAATTGGTATTTAAATGGGTTATAAACTATCAACGATTAGAAAAATGAAAAATATATTTTCTTATTTTAACTTATTCCAAAGTATGCATACTTACTTAAGAAACCTAAATGTATTATTTTTTTATAGAGTGGAAATCATGTTTATATTTACTTGGATTAAATATAATAGTGATTTAGCACGTTTAAAACATCAAAATTAATTCTAAATTCATTTATTTACACTCAATTAATTGGTATTTTATAATTTTACATTTAAACAGGTAGTGAAATCATATTTTAGTTACCTACACTGTTAGGAACATATTAGTAATAATTAGTATTATGTGTAGAGTTCGCTTTATATTACATTTATTTATATTTTATTTACTGTTTAACTGAAACATTTAATTTTTTTTAAATAAAACTTAAAAATAAAAAGTCATAATAATATATTTATATAATAATTTTGTAGATAATTTAGTGAATTTCATCATAAAATATATGTAAGTTACAAAATATTTTGTTTAAAAATCATTTTTAATAAGAATTTTTATCACACACAAAAAGAGTTAACAATCTAAAATGTATGTGTAAAAATAAGTTTTAATTTTTTTTTTCATACGTTGAATGAGTGAGTAATTTTACTTTTTGGTGTTTCAGTTAAACACACTATAAATTTTGATTATTTAATGAGTATTGAAAAACCTACCAATGGATAACAAAAAACTTGATATCTATTTTTATTGATTTTTTATAGCACAAAAAAATGTATGAATGACGATAAAAAAATCAGTTTACATATTTTTAAGGATAATACAACTTTCAAAATATTTTTTTTTATTGAAATTATTTATTATAGTCATTGAATTATTTTTCTAATTCTGTATTAGTGTATAGGTAAAAAAGGTAATGCTTTTATAAAATCCCACAATCCTTTTATTCCTCATACTCTATCATCCATAAAAAAACTGCTTAAATTAAAAAATTCACTAAATTTAAGTGAAATCTAAAAAAGTTATATAAATCATGAAGACGTGTAAAATTTTATAATGAATAACACTCTAAATAATGAAAATCAGCACATTTTACTATATGAAGCATGTAACATGATCTTAAAATCATTTTTGATAAATTTATTATTAAACGAGGCTTTTATTTTGAAAATACAACAATATTTTATTTTACTTAATACTCTTAATTTAATTATTTATTAATTTTACTTTTTTATAAAAGTAAAACTATATTGAAATTAATATAATATTTTTTTTGAAAATTTATATTAATTTTTTCTTTTTATATCAATAAAGAAATTTAATTATATAAATATTATATGATTAACATCATAAAATATTATATAAATATATAAAGTAAAAAATGTATAGTTAATCAATATGTAGAATAGAAAACTTTTAACTAGTTAATAATATCTTCACATGTTTAACAGTTATTAGCTCGTCACTTATACATTTTAATGTAAATACTCTGAAAATGAACTTTAACAAAGTAATAATTTCAATAGTTTTAAGTTAAAATTATTTGTAATTTCATTCATGTTCTATTACTAATGATTTAGCGATTAACCGTAAATGTAGCATGTACACTGCGATATGTCATGATAATATTTAAAATGAACATTTTTGTAAATGCATGATTAATGTTTTTTTTTTATTTATTTATTAATTTATTTCATAGTTGATTGCTAGCATTTAAGAATTTTTTTATGCTAAGTACAACTACTGTGGCTTGGTTTTTATTTGGTTTGCATAAGACTTTGGATATTTGATTACTAAAATACTTTATAAGCATATCGTTTATATAATACTACGGTTCTATATATAGAATATGCATATACTATATTATATACATATAAATAAAATTGTAACATTAAAGGACCATCAGTTTAAACCAAAATAAACTTAATGCTTCACATTTAAAATATGGGTAGTATACTTAACTTAGCGAGCAACGAATTGCGCGCCTCCGTGCGAAAGAATTGGGGTTCAATTCTATTTTGCTGGACTTTGTAAGTTTTTTCGTACTCTTTGGCACAAGTATTAACATTTAGATAGGTGTTAAAAAATACTTGAAGAATAAAAATTATAAAAAATCAATTATTACTTTATCGTTACATCTATACACTTAACCACTTTCAGAGACTTATAGAAAATTCATAAATCATAGACCGCAATACTATAATAAAATTTTACACATTTAAGCGCCGTTGGTGCTGTAAATGAGTCTTTTTCGATAATATTCTTTTTAACTTATTTGTATTATATTTTACATTATTGTAAAATGGTTATGAATTGTTGATCAACAAGTAAATTATTGGTTTTTTCCAAATATATCTATTTAGCTTCTTATAATATGATCAACCGTATTTAGAGATATGGTCTACTTCGAATAAAAATTATCCAAATTTATGTTTTCGAGTTTACAAACGCTATTGGGTTAAATTTATACTTGATGGCAAAGTTGAGCCCTTTTTACGGTAATTATAAAAAGTTTTTTGATTAAAAATTTTTCTATTGCATCCATAAGTAAACATTTTTAAGGGGAGGTTATTATTTTTAATTTTTGAAGAACAAATATATATATTTAAAAAATCTTTGATTTATTTATTATCATATGACTATCAATCAAATAAGGATATTTATTTTCTCATCATAAAATTTCAATAAATATTCATTACTTGGAATGATTTACAAAATTGATTAAATATTCATAAAAATATAATTAAGTTCTATGTTTTTTAAGAATATACTCAATGGTAATATATAGGATAGTAATCCTGTTACTAAGAAAATTATTTTATTATATCACTAAACGCTGTAAACCAAGTCCATAAAGAATAGATAGAGACAGTGAATTTTTCAGTAACAATTCCGATAAAAGTTCATGCAATTTTATCATAGTTTTTGTATCAATCCTCGTTTCTCATATGTTCTTGTTTTAGCGCGTAGAACTGACACGGATGACTACTATTATCTAAAAGATTAATAATGACGGGGGAAAAGAAGACTATACAGCTATTTTATAAACGTGTCACACTGTTTGGGGATAGTATCCCAAGTGATTCTTTTGTCCATACTTCAATCAAGAAAATAGTATTTAAGAAAAAATATGGGTATGAACATTTTCCGTACGGGGAAAATGCAAAATTAACTGACCTGATGGTCCCAAACGTTACAAAATTCATTAAACATGATTTTTTCATAATAAATAAATTATATAACGTCTAAATAAAAACAATTACTAAATTGATGTGTTAACTTTTGTATTTGATTCCTTCACTTGACCGTTCCTTTTGACAGGCGTACCTGGCAAACGTAATGTGATCTACTACAGTTGCTGTCCTGAACCGTACATAGACATTACGTTTTCCATCTTAATTAGGAGACGCACTCTGTATTATTTTTTCAACCTGATAGTTCCGTGCGTGTTGATTGCGTCCATGGCAGTTCTAGGATTTACTCTACCGCCGGATTGCGGCGAAAAACTATCATTAGGTAAACCAAACTATATAATAACTAATTAGCTATCTGTTTTATATTTATTTTTAATTTTACAATTTTTATGCGCGCGTTATTGAGCTTGTTATGCAGTGAANAATATTCATACAATTTTTATGCGCGCGTTATTGAGCTTGTTATGCAGTGAACTTATATGGCATCGAAAAGGGTTGTTATAGGCTATAAATATATACTGAAATAAATATTGTAACAATTAAACTTGTCATATTGTGCTATAAAAAATAAATATACGTAAACTAATTTATGTTGTGTTAAGCTGTTCAATTTGTACTTAAACGCGTAAAAAATATAATTAATATATTTTTTTTTATGTTACATTGATATGTTCTTACAGTTATCAACAGATCACGCCTATTTTGCTGAATTAAAAAACAATAGTAATAATAAATATTTAAAAATAACTCACGACCAGCATAAATTGAAAAAAATCGTTTTATTTGAGTCAAAGCCATTATTTATTTATTTATTTTTATTTTTTTGTAGTTTCATCAGACTTATCCGACCTTTATTTATATTTAATATTCGATAAATCATTCAACCCACCAAAATATCACGGAGAAAAAAAATCTAATGCAATATTGATGACAATGATAACCTTTCAAATGATTTATTGATTTACAAAATTGTAGTTTCGATAGAGTTATTTCATTTATATTATGAAATTAAGTAATTTAATGTTATAAATTAGAACGTTAATAATATTAAGTTCATTGTTTGGGATGACCTAACAGACCCAACCCTGTTGAATATTTCTGAAGTCCTCCGTACATCAGTCAAAGAATCTGAGTAACTTTACGCTTGTAAGTCTATCTTTGTAAAGTCAACAATCTAAGCGTAGTAACTACCGATAACTAGTTTCAGTTAGTACTAAAACATGATAAATGTTTGTAAAAAAAATTGAGCTTCAAGCGAAATGGGCGTGACCTGTTTAAGGAAAATGTCTTTTTCCTTTGATACATAAGATATATAGCAACATTAATCTGGAAAGTAAGCCGGAGGCGGTGCTTGTTTTTGAAAAAAGTTTTTTACAGACTTGCAAGCTCAGAGAAGTTTGAAAAACTACGCTTGTTGTCCGAATCCGTATGTGGATGTTACATTTACCTTGTACATTCGTCGTCGAACCATTTATTACCTCGTCAACTTAATCATGCCGAGTGTCACACTGGCCGTAATGGCCATGCTAGGATTCACTCTACCATCGGATTGCGGCGAAAAAATGACTCTAGGTACAAATATATGAAAAATTCAACTCTGCAGAATTACCACTATGATAATAATAATGACATGTGTATACATAATAGATATGGATACGTAGGTTGTTGGCGCGATTTATTCCCTTTGATTCTGCATACCCTTCGATGACCAATAAAAATAATTAAGTAGTTATTACTGCTTATTTATCATATACGTACGGTAAATAAACTGTACGCCATAGCTTACAAATAGCTATTGAAATAGCTTACTAAATAAATGTGTGTTGTAAAATAGTCGATGGTTGTTCAGATATAAATTTATACATACTGAAAGGATGAAACGACCATTTTTAATAACATTGATTTGATTTTGTATTTATGTATTTTTCATAGCTTATTTAATCTTCTTTTTTAACTACAAGAAAAATGTTTTATAATTTTATTTAATTAAAGGTGTAACGATTCTTCTGTCGTTGACCGTTTTTCTAAATATGGTGGCCGAGACTATGCCGGCTACTTCGGACGCAGTTCCTCTTTTAGGTAACTCATATCCATCGGTTATGTTGCAAAAAGAATTTGTTTTATGAAGTTTCAAATTTCAATGGTTACATAACTTGGCAAAGGAGGGCACACAAAACAAAAATTATTTAGCAATACAATTTTTTTCACAAAATATTTTACCTTTTAAGTTAAAAGATTTATTTTTCTTGTATTTTATTGTTATTTCTCACAAACATATAGGAGCCAAAAAATATTTAGTTGGCTACTCAGTTTACAGTTTTGTTGGTATTACTATTATTATTTTAATTTAATACTTTAACTTTTATTTTTAATATTTTATTTTTTGACAATATTATTGGTCAATTTTCAATACGGGTTATTTAAAAATTGTAAAATATTTATTTTTTACTACACACAAAAAAATTAAGAAATATTGACCTCTCCACCAGTACCAATTTTTAGTTTACATTAAAAAAAATGTAAATATCTAGTAGTTAGATATGAGTGACTATAAATTATGAAATAGTAAGTTTATAAAATAAATTAGAGTTTTTCTTTTTATTTAATTGACAATTTTATTTTTAGCTTTATACGCTAACATTTGGAATGTATTAATAACAATTACAAACATTATTGCCATAACTCAAATTAAAAATTCAAAGACCCATGAGAATCACTCTGCAGCAATACCTTCTCTGACGTTTATAATTATTTTATGACTCTAACTTCACATTATTAAACATCTCGAGGGAAAATATTAGCGAAATGCAACTTAAATTATATTATAAACTTAATATCTCTATGATATAAATGTACATATTATAGTGAAGTGATAATTATCAAGGATAATGTAGACATACAATTAGAGGAATGTATAGCTGCTATTTTCTAATTATAATATAAATATTTAACTATTAGGCTTTAAAATAAAACAGTGATAGATTAGTAAACTTAATATATTAGTTTAAACAAGTGCAATTTTCATGTTCTCGAGATAATTTTGAAAAATTATATTAAATAAATTTTATTTATTTATAATTTCATTTATCCATTACTAATTTGAATGATTTTATTAGAAAATAAATCTTAAAAAGTAATTTTATAAATTAGAGTATTCTTTGAATTAAATTTTGCATAATCTTAGAAGAGCTGGAGACCGGGTCACAAAAAAAAGAATAATAATAATAATGAGAAAATGTATAGTCCACTGAACAATAATGATTTTTTAAATTTTTTAACTATCAATTATATTGAATGGTGAAAAATGTTATTATTAAACTACTTGCGCCTTTACTCAATATACTATGTTTAATTATCAATTAATATTATTCATTGGTTCTCCAATACTTTTGTAATCTCTTTAATGATAATATTTTTCAATGTTGATAAACAGGAGTTACAGTTTTGCTATCACTTACATTCTTCCTAAATATGGTGTGCGAAACAATGCCACCTGCCTCTGAGTTACCGTTGATAGGTATAATGATCAATTATTATAATATTTTTTATGATGTATTTATATTTAGTTTTTCAAAATATTTTTGGGTTTGTACTTGGATGGCAGTGGCAATACCTTTGGGGACCATAAAATTGAAAATTAAAAAATCAAATATATCGTAAATTATTTTTAAGCGCCTTTAACTTATATGTAAACAAATTAGTATAATAATTTAACCATAAAAAAATTTATTATTATTGTTTTAACTAACATTTTAGCTATACAATGCTTGGTTGCTTATCATAGTGTCAGTATTTATTTTTTAAAGTTTATTTTTTTTTATTGTTGTGACCGTAAACAGTTTTTTTTTTGCTTTTTAGATAATAGATAACTATGCTTCATATTTGAAATATTTAATATATTATTAGAGATTATATCATAGACATTCATTTGTGTTTATTTAATTTATAATTTGGCATAAGATTTTTCTTCAAAATTTCATTTTTATTATTTATTATGCTTTTATCGTAATTATTTCAAGTTTTTTTGGAATATTATATTTTATATTTTTTCTATGAATTATAAAATGGCAACAAATTATCACGGGTTTTTGCTATCCCTTTAACTAATCGCTATCTCGATATATAAATTACTGTATGTACATTTTCAAATTTTAAAACTTATATTATCTAAAGAGATTAACTAAATTATATTTCATCTATCTGAATGCACACTGTAATATTTAGTACTATAAAATAAATATTTCAAACTCATAGGCTAGTTTAATATTATGATACGTAGTTATAATAATCGATCAAATGGGTTGTTTATTGCCTATTTATAAATATCATAGATGTAATCTGTATGGAGGCTCATGTTTTTTTAGTATGTGAATGGTTATTTGTACAGTATATATTAGATTGTGCTTTCAAGAGTTACATAATTGTGCCTGACACTGATCTCTCACTTTATTCTTTAAAGAAAAGTTGGTTTATCAACTAAATTCTATAGGATAGAATAAATTAGTTTAAATATGACATTAGATAATTATAATTCTGAAATCTGAATTGTTCGCTTTTCTCAAATCCTACTTAAATTAATTTCTAGTTTAAAGTAAGTACGACCTGTCGAATATGTTATGATTATAAAATCTCCACGCTGTAAAAATAGTTTAAACGTGAGGTGTTGTCATTTAGATGGCCACCGAAAATTATTTTTGCTTGTTTATTGAATTAATGCTAAAGCAATAATAATATCCAACATTAAAGTTATCACATTAGAAAAAATGTTGAAATACAATTTTTTTTCTATATTTAATGGTTTTATTTAAGATGAAATTTAATTTAAATTATTATTATTTATACAACTACTGAAATATTTTTCTTTAAAAATTTGATTCATATTCTTTTATTAAAACTAATAGTGTGCATTTATATGTATAGTATAAAACTTAAATAATTTTACTCCCATCATTCGATTTAGCCATTTAAAATTTGTACCCGGTCTCCTAAATTACTTCCAAAAGCAAAAAAGATAAGACAAAAACTTTTGTAAAAATATAAAATCTCGAGGGACAAAAACCCAGTGAACTAAGTAGACACAAAGTAGGTCAATATTTTTTTTAAGTAGTAATACTAAGTTTGTTGTTCACACTCGAAACAGACTCGTAATAAATCGAATATTACTTTTATTTTCAATTCTTTAACACTTCTATCCCGGAAATGACTTTGTATTTAGTATATACAGTGTTATTAATTTTAAACTTTTTTTAGCACTACTTAAATTATTTCTCAACAATCTAACAGCTACTATTATAGTTATTTCTCACATTTTTATACAGTTATTAGTCACTAATAGTATAAGTATCTAAAAATATTTTCATTGATTTCATTTTAGTTATTTTTAAATTGTGTCAAATATTTCTAATAATGTCATAATAATAATATCATTAGACATAATGTATTATTATTGTTATTATAATTGTTACTATTATTATTATATTACTATTATTTTTATTTAATGGAATGTATTTGGTATTTGGCATTTATGTTGTTTCAGGGGTAACAATCCTCCTATCACTGTCTGTATTTTCACTCATGATAGCCGATGCCTTACCACAAACATCTGAAGCTATCCCCTTACTAGGTCAGGCAAAATATTATAAAAGAAAAAACAACTTAAATTTCTTTTAGGGTCAGAATAATACATAGTATATACATATCTATTTAAAATGAAAATGTATTTATTAAAAATGAAAACAAACTTAACTGAACTCAAAGTATGCAAAATTAAAATAATATTGTAACGTCTAATTTTAGTTAAAATCCATGATCAATTCAATAAAAATTAAAAAGAACTACTTCTAACAGAATAATTATTTTTTATTCAGTAATCTGATTGTATATTTTTCCAAAATTATCAGTTATGATTTCATTTAAATTTATGTAATTTTGTTAGAAAAGTTTAGCTTTATCCTATTAATTATAAAATTAGTATTTTCTATAAACGATTATAACAATAAATTATTTAATATTAATAATAATATTTAATTTTTTACTTGACACCTTTATACTACTCCACCCATTAGGACTTTCTCAACATTTTAAAAATAAAATAAAATCGTTTTATTATGATTGATGATTATGATCAATGTATATACTATTGTATTATTTTTACAAAATTTTGTGGTTTGTGTTCAGATTGTTCATACACTCTTTCTCGTATACACAATAGACCACATACATATTACTATAAATTATTTATTTTGATGTTGTTTTATCAAACAATATTATACATACATTTTAATTTACAGAAAGCTAATAAGCTACATGTTTTTCTATTGAGCCATATTGATGTGTTTGTGTATCATTAATTTATAAAGAGTCTAGGGAAATGTCTAATCAATTTTTCCAAAATATGTGTAATTATTTTAAAATGGTAGCTCTAAAAATTGTTAGAAAAAATTTTTAATTTTATGACATGAATAATGAAGAGGTTAATAATAGGGGAAACTTATTATAGAAATTAAATTTCAAAACCTTAAATATAAAATAATTTAACTATCTAAAGCTTAAATAGCTTTTCTCTTGAACGAATCAATTACACGATGAAAACATGTGAATTGTATACTTTTTATTATACTTAATGATACAATAAAACACAGTATAAAAATCATCCTATATTTTTGATATCATCAAAAACATCATAGTAGCATGCTGCCTTTCATCTATGTTTCGGAACTGTCACTTGATGTTCCTCGTGTTTCGTTGTGCATTTACTTAACATCTTCTCCATTATTGTTCCAATAAAATACCTAATTTTAGTAAAATTAAACCATAGAAATAAAATACAATAAATAAAACTAATTTGATATTTTAAATAAATAATTATATTTTAAGTAAACCATTTAAATTTTACAATCATAAACATACACAAAATAAAAATAAACAGTTTTTTTGTGATTGTGAGTGCGTGTTCTTCCTCGGTTATCACTTATACTATTATTGTAGTTTTGTTGTTGTTGATAATTTTATTTTGTATTGAAATTTTTTTTCATAACAGCTATCAAATCACTAATAAGTTAAAAATCTTTAATAAAAGATAATTCATGCAAAATGTTGTACCAATGAATTACAAGTCATTATTTTCTTTATTTACATACAATTGAATATTCACTATGTAGCCATATTAGTTAATTGCTAATACATATCATGGTAATATATGGTAAAAAACTTATTATTTTTTTGTTATTTATGCTATTGATGTATTTTTGTTGATTATAAGATTTTTTTAGGATCAATTTCACAAGTAAATCAGTTATTTCATGCTAAATAATATATAATCATTATTCGTGTAATATTTTAGCCACTTTATGTTATAATTTTTATTATTTGAATACCACAACCACTACCATCATTTTTATTTATTACTATAATTTTTTATATTTTTTTTTTCGCAAATATAATTTTAGTTTTTACAATTATTTCTCTTTATGTTGTGTGAAAACAATAAAACTGATTAAACCGACATTATCGCTTTAAACCAAATGGTAAATAATTACTTTTATATATATAATTAAAAACAATTATAATTAAATATTTTAAATAATTTATTATGTAACATTATTGATTAATTTCATTGATCATTACATTTGTGGGCCCCTCTGCCTCCAAGTAACAAAACCAGTGGTTTTTTTTAACTATATAGTAAAATTTATACAATTATATAAATTAATATACAAATCAGATTCAAATGAATCTAACAAAATTAATAAAATACATTTTATTACATTTTAAGCAAATATTGAACTAAAATTATGCATTTTAAAGATCTTGCAGATAAAAATAACTAAAAACTAAATGTATAAACTGATTTGTATAGTAATTGTAAACAAAATAACTCTCAAGACCTTAATTAGATTAATAAAAATGAATAAATTTGTGATAATTTCTAGCAGAACAGATATTAACAGTTAATTTCATTTTTAATTGAAAATTATAATATATTAAAGAACGATAATCCTAATTTATACTATCAACATTATAAAATACTTGTGGATTTGTTGTTGTAATTATTTATTGTTGATATAAAAATCATCAATCATTATTATTGTCGATAGTTTTGGTATTCTGGATGATAAATGTAAAATTTTTACATTCTACTTATGGTCTTAAGAGTAAATAAAATAATGATGATTTAAACAAGACGTAAATCTCAATAAATGCAAATTAAATATCATGTTTAACAACAAAATTCATTATGGTATTACTTGCATGGGTAATACATTATTTTCCTAACTATTTGAAACATATAAACTTGTCTTGTTTATGTCTGACTTTTTTGTATTTTCAAACAACTTATGTAGTTTGTCTAGAATAACTTTTTTTTTAATCATTAAACTTTTTAAAATTATTGATTTTTTCTAAAAATATGTTAGTATATTAACATAATGAAAACCTTTAAAACTCTAAAGGGTTATGAGGAGTTGCTCCATCACTGAATATAAATTACCTTTTTTGAAATTTTTATTCATCTATATGAAGGGTACACTAGGAGAAACAGTCATCTAAGCTACTTCTCACAATAATTAACAAACGTTGCCTTAAATAATTTTTCACTTAATAAATGTATGGATGTATAAAACACTTGATGTTGGAAATATGTTGCTCTCTCTATTCTTCGTACTATGAACTATAACTTCATACATAATAAAACTATTCCAATTAGAAATGTCGTTCATAAAGAATAAAATGTATTTTACAGTATAAGAACAAAGTAGATAAATTGTCAAAAAAATTATGCATCCTCTTGTCTCAGACGATGTGTCAACTCCACTTAACCCTATACTATTATGCTGTTATAGATGCATATAAACTAATTTAGTCGATAAATTAAACGATTATTTAAAATTAAAAGTTATAAAATGTATTATATTTTTGTTTTTCTAAGTCACTATTAAATTCATACTTGCACTTTAAAAGTGACAATGCACGATGCTTACGAAATGTGAAAAAATTAAATACCAATCCATGTGTATTAATAATTGTGTTTTAATATTAAAACTAGGTACTTACTTCAATTGTATCATGTTCATGGTGGCGTCATCTGTGGTTTCTACGATCATGATACTTAACTATCATCATCGCAATGCAGACACACACGTCATGTCTAAATGGGTATAAATTAAATCTGTTTCGATATTTTTAGAACTATTTTTTTAACGCACAATATTTCGAGACAATAATCATTTATTAAGAAATATTTAGAATGTCTGACTCTGATGTTTTTTCTTTAGGTAAAATTAGTGCTCCTTGTTTGGATGCCATACATTATGTGCATGACACGTCCAAACAGAGAGGATTCACCGAGCAAGCAGGAAAAAAAGTCAACAGCGTCTTCCATCCATCATCTTCCGGACCTGGAGTTCCGAGCCAAATCGTCTAGAAGTTTACTAGCCAACGTGCTAGACCTGGACGATGATCTCAGATCGTCTACCCGCAGCTATCCCGGGGCTAGGAGTCAAGTTGCGCCCATGCCAGAGCACGTGGTCGAGCAGCAGCAGCAGCACTCTACGGTAATTCACAGAGGTGGCGGTAACGCTTCGCAAATGGCCGCTGCTTCCTGTCTAGGTCCTCATAGGGAGCTATCGTTGATCCTAAAGGAGCTACGCACGATTACGGATAAACTGCGCAAAGAAGAAGAAGACGAGGAGATTACTAATGACTGGAAATTCGCGGCTATGGTAGTCGACCGCATGTGCCTGTATATATTCACATTTTTCACCGTGGCCGCCACAATCGCAGTACTTATGTCTGCTCCGCATGTGATTGTAACGTGATCCGTACGGCAGTGTTGTCAACTAAACGCCCTGAACACTACGAGTTCGTTGAACGGTATTTTAACACGATTTGTAACAGCGATCTGTCTTTACTTTAAACACAGTCATTTACTTACACTAGCGCAACTCAATTTCTCATTTTTATAAAATTTCAAGACAAATCCGGCACTTTTTTCAACAAAACACTTTCAATGTTTATAGTTCAAAAGTTATGGAGTATTTTATCTTAGAATTATTAAACTTAGAGTATTGAAACAAAGCACATTACATTGTTGTTAAAAGTAAAGTATTTTTTTTATCAAGATTATCATTTAAATTAACGCAATAACTTTGTACCGAAAAATAAAAAATCAATTTTATCAGGATCTAAAATTAACTTGACGTTCAAATGAAATTCGTTTTGAGTAGTGTTTTTAATTGGAAAAATATTGTAATGAAGTCTTGTGCAATGGCCTATTTACCAATAACAAAACGGCGATTTCTCTTTAAATAATACATGTATCATTTTCAATAATTATTCAAGTTAATATTAATTTTATATAAGTTAAATACATACATCGTAATAAAAAATAATCTCATTTACTATAATTTCCACGAAAAGTTATGCTTACGAATATTGAAAAATCAGTGCCATTGCTTAAAAATATTATTATTATTTAGTTAGCAAAGAATTCTATGTTACGTTGAATGACAAAATCTTGAGTCGTCTTCCGGTTCAAATAAATGTCATAAAAAGAAGTTCTATATATATTAATATAATATTTTAAACTGTAAATTATATTCGGTGTATTGTTTAGTTGAATTATATTTTATAAAATCAGCTACTTAGGATAATTTCTTAGACTAGAGTTGGGTATAAATTATATGTCTTTATTATCTTTGACATATTTTTATTATAAAGCTAATGATTCACTAATGATCGTTAATTTACAAAGTGTTAAATAACAATTGAGCTCAATTAAATGCTTTCATAAATAATGATAATTGTATTATAAATTGATATTTAAATAAAACCCATTAAAATATTGTATAGAGTTATTCATTGTTAAAAAATAATATACATATAACATAAAATTGTTCTATAAACGTGAAAACCGTTAAAATTATAACATGTGAGAATAAACAATGATTTTATTATAAAAAAAGATGTTTAATAATGATAAAAAATGTAAATACTTACTTTGTTATTTGTACGTTGTTATTGAATCTTGTTAACATAATTATAATTGATTTTATATTAATGTAGACAGTTTAGTAAGAATAATTTAATAATAATTATGTATGTATGCATAAATTTATAGGTTAATGTTTCGGGCATTTTATAATAAATTACATTTATATGAGCGAAAAAATTCGAGTACGAATCAAAAGACTTAATTTAATTTTTATCATGAGTCCATCAAAACTCATAAAGGGTTTAAATTAGTTTTGCACAAATCAGAACAATTGCCACATCCATAGATTATTGTATAAATTCTTTTAAAAACATCATTCACTTAAACCTATAATTATTCTTCTACTTGACATTCATTTTTAAAACTATCATCATTATGAAAATTTACCTCGTCATCTTTATCCCAATTATCAATAATTATAATCGTATTATTATTATTATTAATGAAATCACAATTTTTTTTGTTATTATTATTATTATTTTTTTTTTTAGAAAACTAATAGAGTAATTTATATATTATAATAAGTACTTGTAATGATAAATTAGAAAGAAAAAAATGGTGCACATTGTCTAAATCAATAAATTTTTACCTTCAATTGTAATTTATTAAAGCAAATAAAATTATTAATTTTAGTTAATTAATTTAACGAAAGCTTTTGTTAAGTGACGAATATCACTGTATTGTGTCAAAAAATGTCTTTGTTTAAAAGAACAAAAATACTGTTAAAGTAATAGCGATTATAGTATTATTCTTGGCTAAGATAATAATTATTATAGCATTACGATTTGACGGTTATATTGGAAAGAATATTATATTGCAATTTGATACACGACACTATCAAATTGTGAATTCGCTCATCTAGGCGCTGTTCTCTAAATTCGTTAAGTGATTAATTTTATTTTAAATGTTAACGATAAAATATACAAATCTAGTAAATTATAATACGTATTATATACGTACACAATACTGTGTAATATTTCACTATCATTAGATCATAACAATTAATAAGTTTAAAAATTATATAAAAAAAAAAACTTGGTTGCGTTTAATTTTTACTACTATTGCTTGTAATATTATTCATGTACTTCCAAATTAACACTATAAATTATTTTAAATTGTATTGATAATTTTAATCTGCCAATAACATTTTCATTGTATAACTTTTTAGCAGACAATCACTAAAATGTCTCACAAATGTTTTACGTATCATTCATCATGAATTTGTTCAGTTTTAACATGGATATGTTTATGTACATGTATTATTTTATTTTATAACAAAATAACATAATTAATATTATTAATGCTTATGTTACTTGTACTTTTCTTAGAATTATGTTGATATTCTACGTAAACACATACAGATGAGCTCACAGTTTTTAATTAATTTTAAAAAAATGCCAGTAATCAATAAAGTTTGTTTTTATATAAATTTAAATTAAGTGAGTTGATAATTGTTGAAACTTTATTTTACTGCATTTAAATTGGTTAATAGTGATTGTGTATAGTATTTTAAAGCATTATTTTTCATTTGAGTGCCTTTACAAATCGTATTAATGTTTTAATGTGTTTATATATTATTTAATTTTTTTTTCATAAATTTCCTAAATTTTACCAACATCACTTTTAATTTAAATAAGTATTTTGTTTATAATATCGTTTCTTCGAACTGTTTAATGTTGTTAAAAACAACTTGTTATAGTAAATAATTATTTTATTTGTTTAATGTTTATAGAAAATTGATTTGTGGGCCAACTCATTATCTCTAGGCTGATTAAACAAAATCAACTTTATAATACTATATATTGATATAAAACAATGCGCAATACGGTGTACGAAATATAATATAGATTTGCTCATAGAATTGTTAACTCTTGTATATTGTAGATGTCAAAAAAATGTTTCATTTCAAGCAATATCTACTTAAAATATAAAAGTTATAATTGTGTTTATTAAGCTGCATTGCTTTGGAAATTATTATTTGATGTATTTGCGTAAAAATAATGAGGTATAAAAGTTATCATCATATCAAATTTAACAACTTGCCATCAAGCCCATGAAAAAAACTTTTTAGCAAAATTGAAATATTTATGAAATGTTTAAAATAGTTAAATAATAATAATACTCGCCTGGTAGTTGGTCAGCATTGATAAAACCAATTGAAAGGTGTGGTCTAATCATCATTATTGCCGTCCCAAAACCGACATTGAATCCGGTGTAGTCCAGGTTAAATTAGGTATGCACTTTGGTGGTTTAACCGGTTTTTACTTATAATAAACTTTGTCAGAATTTTTAATCAGGAAAGTATTTTGTCGATTCAAAAAGTTCTATAATATTATTTTGTAAATATTGTTCACATTTTTATTTCCATTTAAACACCACAAGTTACACATATTACATCTATACCCACATTTTATAATGCTAGTTAGTCTTATACTCTTATCTACGAAAATAATATGTTTGAATAAATATACATCTATTTATTCCATTTTATGTTTTTATTACATAGTATTAATGATTTTTTAGCTTCGATGAGAAGCTGAGAAGGTATTGATTTAACTATGATGTGTTTTTTTTTTTTTATGTCTGTTGCCACTTTTTCTCAGCTCTCGCTAGACACCACGTTATTAATGCCCACTTTAAAACCTCTCTCGGTACTCTATCATACGCTTTCTCAAAATCTATAAATTGACGCGGTCGCATTGCACTTCCGGCTTTACCGCTGGATGGCGACTGCGACACAGCTACCTCTCCTCGTCCGACAGGTCGCGTGACGCCGAGTGACCGCGGGTGACGCGAACCGGTCCAGGCCGCCGGCCACCACATATACTACATATTATTATCGTCGTTGAACCATATATTGTCTACTTCCTTTTGGAATGAATATTGTTGTTTTAAGTTCTTATATATAATAGTTAAAATATATGCTAACATAAAGTTTAATAACTGTGTTATTATTATTATTATTATTAAATTATCACCTAACCACAACATTGGCGCAGTCGGAATATTTTTTTTGCAGACTAAGAAGTTATTAAGGTAAGTGCTAAATAATTAAAGCAATTATTATTTGTAGCACCCTTAATAAAATATTTGCAAAATAGAGAACCTACAGCTTTAACTGGCTAAAAGCGTAGTAAGTCCCAGAAAAAGAAATTTTTAAGACTTAATTAGCCATAAGCTTATTAATTTTTGGGGTTAAGGTGTATATAAGCTATATAGTTAGAGATAGACTTATTATACAGGAGAATTTCCTAACGTGGTTTGTGCTAAAAATATCTTATAGACAAGTCCACTTCCCGATCACGTGATCAGCGCATTAGCTTATCCCCATTGACCTACTTATCTGTTATTATTAGAATATCAGCACTCAATATGTCAGGTAAGAGCATACTTGAGCTGACGATAAGAGAGTTGCAAGGGGAGCTGTCACGACGGGGTCTCGCTACTGGGGGTTCTAAAGCCGACCTTATGGTTCGGCTGGAAGACTTTCTAAGCCAGGAGGAGGGGGTTAACGCGGCAAGCGTCAAATTTCACCCCGAAAAACCAAGTAATCCTCCACCCCAAGATGACGATATCCCTAACGGGAGGCCCGGGCAACCGGAAGATGACGATCGCCGTTCCGAAGACGACCGAGACAGCTGGTCACTGTCATATGATACTTATATGATGTTATGCGGGTACGTCGAGGATAATGCGAAGCGGAACGAGGAGCTAGAAGCAATAGTCGCCCAACAGCGCGAACACATTGCTCAGCTTGAGACAAAGTTGAACGACTTGATAAAGCAAGTCAACTTGTCTGCTTGCGAAGCACAGGGGGTACCTTGCAGTACCAATAGGGGAACTCTGCCGCCACACCACACGCTTAGGCGAGTTATAGCGGACAGACCCGAGAATTCACAACTCCGATCGGAAGGGGGTGAGCAGATGGCCGTCCCGGAAAATTCCGACCGAGCAGTTCGAGAGGACCCCCCATCCCCCCCACCGGAGCTTCGGACTGCAAATCAGTTCTCCGGTGAATTACGGGATACTTCGGCGGAACTATACAGTAGAAAACAGTTCTTCGGCGAAAAAATAAATTCGCCCCGTGAAAACGGCCGGTACCCCGGGTTACACCGACCGGGACCCCCCTACGCCGGTGAAAATTCTGTTTTCTTCGGTGGATTAGACCGGATTTCGGAAGAACAGCACCGAAACAGACAATTCTCCGGTGAAAGTTTCTGTTCTTCCGGTGTAAACAAAAATTCGGCCGGTGAAAGTAACCGGACGACCGAGGAACATCACCAGAACATACAGTTCTCCGGTGAAAATTCGAGTTCCTTCGGTCAGAAACACCACATTTTTGTTTCAAACCAAGGAATGACCGGTAATAACGGAGTAGAACGATCTGAAAGTCGTTCCCATCCGGACAATAGGACCAGGGAGCAACGACACGTTACTTTTAACGAAACGTCGCTACTGTCCCACGACAGTCTAACGTTGGCGCGTGATTCTCTGCCGGAGTTTTCCGGAAAGAAACAAGAGGACCCCAACGCTTTCATCGAAGAGGCTGAAATGGTCCTAACCGAAGCGAACGTACCACACCAGAAGTGGGTACGTGTACTGTCCCCACAGTTAAAAGCAGAGGCAGGTAACTGGTGGGGTACTATACGCTGCTTGAACCCCACATGGACAGTGTTCCGACAACAATTTTTGAGGAGGTTCAATAGCATTGCTATACTTACCCAAGTACGCAATGATCTCCACAGTGCTCACCAAGGCGAACGTCAATCCCTAGGGGAGTTTGTAATGTGGAAGAGCCAGCTAGCCCGTCGTCTCGACTCAAGGCTCACAGAGTACGAGTTGGTCGACCTAATCATAGGGCTTATGCGCAGTGACTATCGGGTCCACGCAAGAGTGAGACGCCCGAGGTCAATGGAAGATCTGCTAGAGCTGGCTAGCGACTTGGACGTTGAGGACCTTTCTCCGGAACGGCGGCCCGAAGAAAAGAAGTATTCCGCGGAAGGGAATAGCTTCAAATGGGCAAATAAGAAACCGCCACCGGAGAAAGAGGTTATTAGACCGGAAAAAAGCCCGTCCGGAGCCGCACGTTGTAAAAACTGCAACCGGACTGGGCACTGGTGGGCGAATTGCCCGGAAAGAAAAACGGCGAGTACGGGAAACGGGAAGAGTTCCGGACGGTTCACGGGAAACCGACCGGACAAGAAAAACTAGCCCGCCCAAAGAACCGTAAGCGCAAGCCCGGTACCGAAGTTTCCGACCAGGAACCCAAAAAGGCACCGGAGAAGCGCAAAAATATGCAGCTCGCCGCTATCGAATCCGGAGAAACGGAGTACACACGGAAGAAACGTACGGAAAAAAGAGAAGTTTCGGAAACACAGGAGAGTAGTGCAAAACGTCCTGACCAAGGAACACAAGCGGCTCTCTCCGAGAACAGTTTGCCGAACAAATCTCTGGAAGACCTGGAACAAGACCAGTTAACACATGAGTTGTTAACAGTTCCACAGTCTTTCCCGTTAAAACTTCCGAAGGAGTTGACTCCTATCACTGGTATTGCGCGGAACCGAAGGAAATCTGATACGGACTCACTTTATGACCTCAGGGTCCGAGCCGCAGATTTATTTACCGGAGAAAACTTTCCTAGCAAACAGGGTTATTGTTCAGCGTCCGACCAGGACCCAAAATACAATAAGTTACCCGAGAAAAAGCTGGTGAAAGAAATCTCACAAGGTAATATTACCTCTTCTAACCCAAACACGAACGGTAAAAGAGCTACAACTACCGGAGCACCGAAAAAGTACGATGTGCCACTGCCGGCCATTGAACTTGAGTTTCCGACTAAAGTTGTGGTGGCTCTACTAGATTCACAAGCAACTGGATCTTATGTTTTACCGTGGGTAGCACATGAGTTTGGTAAACCAATAAAAGGAGAGCCGAGTATGGTCACATTGGCTGACAGCCGAACTTTGCAAGTTCATGAGTACGCGGAGTTCACAGCACAGGTGTCTGACATTGAAGTTCAATTCAGAGCCGCGGTACTCGACCATCTTATCGGTGACGTGTTACTGGGCCATGACTTCTTGGTGAAACAAGAAGTGGCATGGGACTACCGAGCATGTACAATCCACATGGGTACAGAAAGAAGAGCGACGGTATGCTGGAGAAAACCGACAATCAAACGGGAAACCGAACCGAAGATGGTTATCCCGGAAGGGGAGTTTCCGGAAGATGTCCGGTTAATATTACTCAAGTACCCGAAGGTTTTCTCCGGAGAAGTCGGGAGGACCCGAGTCATTGAACATGACATCCGGTTAAAAGAGAAAACTCCGGCTACTTTAAACGCATATCCTTATAATCGTGAAAAACAGGATACCATCACACGTATGGTGCGAGAAATGGAGGAGCAAGGTTTTGTAGAACCTAGTACCTCGCCATGGGCAGCTCCCGTAGTTCTTGCCAAGAAAAAAGATGGATCCCAGCGATTATGCGTGGATTACCGGAGACTGAATCTCCAAACAGAATCCGACGCACATCCAATGCCTGACTTACACGAAATGGTCCGTGGAATGGGTGGCGCTAACGTCTTCAGCACCATCGACCTTAAGTCTGGCTATTGGCAGGTCAGTTTGACTCAGGAGTCAAGACCACTCACCGCATTCCGCACACAAATGGGCCTCTACCAATTTAAAGTAATGCCCTTTGGCCTTAAAAACGCCCCGGCTACTTTTCAACGGTTGGTAAACGAGGTTATGCGTGGATATGTCGGTAAATTTGTGTTTGTGTACCTAGACGATATCGTGGTGTACTCGGTGAATATGAAGAAACACCTCAACCACATACAACGAGTCTTGGAACGGTTACAAACACATGGGTTGACAATTCAACCGAAAAAATGCAGTTTCGGTGTAAACCGTATAAATTTCCTCGGACACATAGTTGATTCGACGGGAATTGACCGGGAACCGGAGAAACTAACTGCAATCGCCGAATTCCCCGTACCGAAGAAAGTCAAAGATTTACAAAAGTTCCTCGGAGTATGCGGTTGGTACAGTCAGTTCGTGTCGAAATACACCGAACTTACCGCTCCGCTGACTAATCTTTTGGCACATGGAATTAAGTGGCGATGGACGGTACAAGAGCAAGACGCTTTCCAAAAGCTTAAAGAAGCACTTGTCTCTGCGCGCCGACTCTATCCCCCACTTCAAGGACAACCGTTTTATGTTCAAACGGACGCAAGTGAAATAGGAGTCGGTGCCGTACTGTTTCAGCGGGAAGAAACCGGCCAGAGAAGGATTATCTCATATGCCAGCCGAAAACTTTCTCCCGCTCAGACACGGTATTCAGCCGTAGAACGTGAGTGTCTAGCCATTGTATGGGCCGTTGATCGCTTCCGACCATACCTAGACGGAAAATTTACTTTGCTCACGGACAGCATAGCGCTTAAGTGGTTACACCACACGCGGGACACCAACAGTAAATTGACCCGCTGGGCGTTACAGCTGGGAGCGTTCGACTTTGATATTCAGCACGTGCCTGGAGTTGAAAATCAAGCAGCAGACGCCCTATCAAGAAGCCCTGTGGAGAAAACTCCGGTAGATGAAGAGCAACTAGAAAGAAACTACCATGATCCACCATTGACCGGAGATTTATCCGAACAAAGTCAATTAGGGGCTATAAAAAAGGATATTCACCCGGAGAATATCGCTATTTCCGACATTAGAACCTGGCAAACCGAAGATGCAACTTTGGCCCAGTATGTCCGGAAACTCCGGAGTGACAAACCAATTTACCGGCGTTTACACCAGGAATACCACTTGCAAGATGGTATTTTGCTAAAAGGCCCGGTAAATAACGGAACGGACGGAAAGATTATCGTCGTTCCGTCGGACATGTCAGATCACCTGCTATGGAGGTATCATGATCATGTTTCTGCCGGACATCCAGGGTGGAAAGAAACTTACCGGAGCATCGGTAATCGTTTCTTCTGGACCGGTATGAGAGAGTCGGTACGTCAATATGTTGCAAGGTGTCACGTTTGTGCTTGCGTTAAACCGTTGAACCGGAAGCAAGACGACCCAATGCGACCAAGACAGCCCCGCCAGCCATGGGAGGTTGTTAGCATTGATCTTATGGGGCCATACCCAAGATCTCAACGCGGTAAGACTTGCCTACTTGTAGCAACTGACTGCTACAGTAGATGGGTAGAAGCATATCCCCTAGGGCAAGCCACCGCTAAGACGATTACCGACACTCTAGAAAGAGAGTTTTTCTCACGTTTCGGCTATGCTAGAGTACTTCTCTCAGATAATGGAACACAGTTCGTCTCCAAAACAATGGAGAAAGCACTGGAGAAGTGGGGCACAGAAGGATGGACAACGCCAATTTACCATCCAAGAGCAAATCCAGTAGAACGCCGAAACCAGGATTTGAAAAAAGGTCTTCGGACAGCTTTGGTTGACAAACCACATAGTCACTGGGACAGCTGTATTCCGAATATACTTTTTTCAATAAGAAATCGTCGGAACAGGCTAACAGGGAGCACTCCCTCTGAGCGGGCATTTGGGCGAGAAGCCAAAGCCCCCGGCGATTGGCTGCTGGACATTATTTCTACGGGTAAAAACCCGAAACAAGTAGAAATAACCGGACAGAAAAAGGATTACGCCGAATCGCTACCGAAAAAACCACAATTTTCCCCGAAAAGACCGAAGAATGACCATAATTCCGGTGTGATAACCGAAAACTCCGGTATCTTCGGTGGGAAAATTAAAATCTTTGGGGGGGGAGGACAACCCTCTCAAAATCTCGGGTCATCTTTCGGTAAAAACAACGCTGGTCACAATATATCCCGTGAAAATCACCGCAAACGCTTTGAGGAAGGGGATTGGGTGTATTATCGCGCGCATCCCTTATCCAGCGCTGATAAAAAGTTTCATGCCGGCTTTGCCCCTAAGTGGCTGGGCCCCGTGCAACTAGCCAAAAGGTTAGGTGAGGGAGTATTTGCGACCAAAGGAAAGCGTCAGTTGAAGCTACATGTTACGGCCATGAAACATGACACTTCGGGAGGTAATCCTAACAATCATTTTTTGTTACAGAATGACCGACAACCAGCAGCAAGGAGAAGCCCGCCCGTTCCGCCCATCTCGTCGATTAGCCGCCGAAACCGCAACCATGATGCGCCAACAGGCGAGACGACTGATGCGGCAAGCAGCGGCATTATTGGGGGAAACGTACGAGGAGTTGCCGAATTGGAGCCGGGCTCGGGTCAGGACAGCAGAAGTCTGGGAGTTGCGATCCCAGCCACTACTGTGGGCCGCTTTCGATCGTGGCTTGACCGAGAGAGTCCGCCAAGGGGAAACCCGGAGACGGAACGATGGTTCGGCACNAACGGAACGATGTTTCGGCACAGCCACGGCCACGTGCTCGCCGTCCAAGGCAACCGGCACAAGAGCGGCTGGAGCGAAATCGGCCAAACCACCGGCACAATACACGGGACGATCAAGGTCGTTTCCGTCCGAAACCGGTGGCACAAGCTCCCAGCCAGCCTCCCCCCGTCTCAGTAGTGGTAAGCGGAGTGGGAAGTGGGTCTNACAGTAGAGGTAAGCGGAGTGGGAAGTGGGTCTCGGCCCGACGGAAACGTGAGCCGGGACCGACAACCCGATCTACCGGTCGTGTTCTTAGGAAACGACCGGATAGATCCGCCATTGGATCTAACCTTCCAACAGCCGGACGTCATGGAGAGGATGGAGGTGGAACCCGACGTCGAGGCAATCCTCCACGCTTCGCCCATCCTGCTACCGGACTTTGCCGATCTGGAAGGCGTCCCGGCAGACAACTCACCATAGGCTGAAAAGGCTAGCCGACCGGTCGGACTGGGGGGGGAGTATGACGCGGTCGCATTGCACTTCCGGCTTTACCGCTGGATGGCGACTGCGACACAGCTACCTCTCCTCGTCCGACAGGTCGCGCGACGCCGAGTGACCGCGGGTGACGCGAACCGGTCCAGGCCGCCGGCCACCATATATACTTCATATTATTATCGTCGTTGAACCATATATTGTCTACTTCCTTTTGGAATGAATATTGTTGTTTTAAGTTCTTATATATAATAGTTAAAATATATGCTAACATAAAGTTTAATAACTGTGTTATTATTATTATTATTATTAAATTATCACCTAACCACAACAAAATATCATATAAAGCTTTATCTTTTTTTCCCTAAACTTTTCTATTAGTTGCCTCACACAAAATACTGGCTCCATTATTGACTTACCAGGCCTATATCAAAACTGATTTTTAGATACTGATGTCTCATTTCTTATTCTCTTATATATTACCTTTTCCCAAATTTTAATACTATGACTCATAAGCTTTATGCCTCTAAAATTTCCACACTCTTGTATGTTACATTTACCTTTAAATATCGGCACCACAATACTGTCCTCTCTTTTATCGTCTTGACAAATTCTTTTTCATTTTCCCCTTTCAATTTCCACCAACGGATATTCTATTTTTCTCCCGTGTTCCTTCAGTTTTTGTATATTCTTATCTCTGTACACCAAAACTCCATTACCATTAGTCTATGTTGTGTAGTTACACTCTCGCCTAATATAACTTTACAATTCTTTACTCTCTTTACACTCTCACTCTTCCACATTAAATAATCAATCTGTGATCTATTATTCCCACTCTTGTATATTATATAATGTTCTTCCCGCTTTCTAAAATAAGTGCTAACCACAGCAAGGTCATATGATACTGCGAAATCCAGGATTCTTTCTCCAGCCTCATTATTCTCACTAAAACCATACCCTCCATGTACTCTTTCATTTCCTTTCCACTCATTACCTACATGTCCATTCATATCTCCACCTATCACCACATCCATATTGCCAGGTACCCCTTGCATCACCTCATCCATTTCTCTCCAAAACACTTCTTTGTATATTTCATCACATCCCACTTGTAGTACATAGGCACTTATTACATTCAGCACTTTTTCCTCGAATATCAATTCCACGACTAGAATTCTGTCACTTTTCCTAGCTACTTTTACTACTCTACTTTTCATCTCCTCATCCATTATCATTCCTACACCATTTTTTGTACTAGACTTCCCTGAATATATTATTTCATAACACTCACTTATTTCCCTCGATTTCTCTCTTTTCCACTTAGTTTCTTGCACATAACAAATGTTAACTTATCTCTTCTTCAATAGTTCTACCAATTCTATATTTCTACCAGTTAATGTTCCAATATTTCAAGTATCTATTCTTACTTTGTATCTATCTTTCTCCCTTATACACGAGTCCAGCCGAGTGTTAAGTGGTGATATCCTTACACCGTTGACACTACAAGCGTTAGGTATACCTGTATACAAGATTGGTGAAACAGCTATCCCACAAGTTGTACGTCTTAATACTTTATACGTTAATACTTTGATTAAAAATAAATTAAAAATTCAATAAATAAATTAGTTTTTTATTAGATACATAATTAAAAACGGAAGCACAGTGGGGTCGAGGCACAGTGTAGACAAGGCATAGATGAGACAAGTATAGATGATATTTGACAGTGATTAAAATCACTATCATAAGAAACGCTTCGATGCAAATCTGTAGATAGTGTTTCATTTAGAGAAATTGGTGGATTATTTCAAAAGCAACATCAACTCTTATTTCTTTGAATATACCCTAATTAGTAGTTCTTTGATTTTAAAATATAATATATGAATAAATACTAATTATAATTATTAAATTTAGTATGAAAATAATAAAGTAAAAAAAAATTAATAAGTTTAATTTCTTATGTCTTATGACCTTTATTCTATGTCAATTAAATTATATAATATTCATGAAAGTCAATATATTCTCCTAATAAGATATTCTATAATAAAATAAAATACAAAACATAGAATTTTAATAGAAAAATAGCATATTTTTGAATACGGTAGCCATTTGCGCATAGAAGATAGGTCGTCGGGACAAATTTTTTTTTTATTTTATAGAACATAATATAAACTTTAATTTGATATATGTTTAAAGGACGCAGTATTTCCGGAACACTTTTAAAAGTTAAGTTGAAAAAGTTCTATTTTTTATACAATATTTCAAGTTTTGAACGCCCCCTATTTATGAGGAAATTGTCCAATTTTAATAAAAAGTATATCAAATGAAAGATATACTTAAAATGTATTTAGAAAAAAAAATTTGTGCTAATAATTACATTTTTCGAAAAGTTATAGCACTTTTAAGTTGAAAATTTAAAATCAAAAATCGAAAATTTTAACAAAAAAATAGTGTTTTTTTAACTACGGCAGCCGTTTACACGCAGAAGATAAAGTGTTGGGACAAATTTTTTTTTTTCATTTTGTAGTACATAATATAAGCTTTAATTTGATATATGTTTAAAGGACACAGTGTTTCCGGAAGATTTTCAAAAATTAAGTTGAAAAAGTTAGTTTTTGTAAAAAAGTTGCTATTTTAAATCCCCCCCAATGAGTAGGTTAAATGTTAGATTTTCAAAAAAATGATATCAAATGAAAGGAATATATCTAAGGTTTTAGTATAAAAAAAAATTATGTTGATTTGTTTATTTTTGAAAAAGTTATGGAAGTTTTAAGAAAAAACATTGAAAAAAATGACAAAATTTACCGATATTTAAATTTGTAATTTTTTTGGATATTTCCCCCATTTGCGGGGAACGAGGGAAAATTTTTCAATTTTTAAGGCTAATTTCTTCAATCAGATACGATTTTTGATCTTTTGACGTATTGTTTAAAGGAATCGGTCCAGTGAGAGCTGAGAAAAAGTGGCAACAGACATAAAAAAAAAAAAAAACACATCATAGTTAAATCAATACCTTCTCAGCTTCTCATCGAAGCTAAAAACGGTAGCACAGTGAAGTCGTGGTACAGTTCAGACGAGTATAGATGATATCTGAAAGTAATTAAAATCGTTATCATAAGAATCATTCCCATGCAAATCTATAGATAGTGTTTAATTTTAAGCAATCGGTGGATTATTCCAAAAGCAAAATGAACTCATATTTCCTTAATTAAGTAATTAAAGGAAATCGTTGTTACTTCTTATGGCAAATGTGTATAAAAATTGAAGGATTTGATTCAATAATTTTCAAAATAAAAAAATTTTTTGTTGCTCATGGTTAAATTTACTATGATTTGTATTTATTTTGTGTCTGTTACCACTTTTTTTCAGCTCTCATCCAATCATATTCTTTCAACAATACGTGAAGGATCACAAATCGTATCTAGTGAAACAAATTATTCTCAAAAATTGAAAAAATTTACCTCGTTCCCTGTAAATGGGTGAAATCTACAAAAAAAAAAAAAAAAAATACAAATTTAAAAATAACTAAATGTTGACATTTTTTCAATTTTTTTTACTTTGCCATAAATTTTTTTAAAATAATAAAATCAATATAAATTTTTTATAGATGCATAATGTCTTTACCTATTATTTGGTATATTTTTTTTTATAAATTTGACCCTTTACCTGACCACAGAGGGGGATTTAAAATGACATTTTTTGACAAAAAATTAACATTTTCAACTTAACTTTTGAAAGTGGTACGAAAAATCTGACACTTTCATATATTTCTTAAATTAAATTTAATGTAATATACTTTATCAATGAAAAAACAAATTTCGGACTTTATTTTGTTTTCACGGTGAAAATTCTCGAATTTATATTTTACATTTTTAACTTTATAATGACTTAACTTATTAAAAAGTGTATGGATCAATGCAATTTTTTTATGAGAAATAATATTTATTCTTCTTTTATTCGATCTACTTTATCTTAATCATGATATAAATAAGGAGATAGGAGATCATGTAGCTTTTGGCATAGTTCACCAATTTTTTAAAATTAAAAACTATCTATCAAGATATTGTGAAAAAAATGTCATTTTAAATCCCCCCTGTGGTCAGGTAAAGGGTTAAATTTATGAAAAAAATATACCAAATGAAAGGTAAAGACATCATGCTTCTATAAAAAAATTTGTATTGATTTGGTTATTTTTAAAAATTTTATATCAGTTTCAAGTAAAAAAAAATTGAAAAAATGTCAAAATTTAGTTATTTTTAAATTTGTAATTTTTTTTGGAGATTTCCTCCATTTACGGGAACGAGGGAAATTTTTTCAACTTTTGAGGATAATGTCTTCGACTAGATACGATTTATGATCTTTGACGTATCGTTGAAAAAAATCGGTTCGGTGAGAGCTGAGAAAAAGTGGTAACAGACACAAAAAAAAAAAACACATCATAGTAAAATTAATACCTCCTAAGCTTCACATCAATGCGAAATATTTTATTAACATTGTTTAAATATATAAAAATCATTAAAAAAAAAAAAACAGCAAAATATTTCTTTTCAAAAATTAATGTTCTTTGTATAATTTAATAAGTATATTTTGTTTTGTTTAATGTTATTCGGATAAAAGTAATAGCAAAGTCAATATAAAAATACATTGTTTTAATGAATATAATGTTTTAAACAATGTAGATTGATGTAAAATTGAAAAATGTTTGCTTTGAACTTAGGGAATTATGTAATCAGTTATTTATCTAGAGCCTAACAAATAAAATTGATAAAGATAAGGTGACAATGGAAAATAAAAAAAAAAATTCAATTCGCTTAATAATTAGAGTTATGATTAAGAATGATAACACTTCAATTGAAAATATACTACAAGAATGTAAGAGTAATAGCCACTTTACATTTAGATAAAAAAATTTAATACATTAATTAAACTGCCACTAAAATAATATTTTTTCAATTAAAAATTCTTTATTATAGTATTTAGAGAAATTATATTAATTTAATTTCAAAAAAAAAATGTTTGTTCTTATTGTTTTCAGAACTAGGAGATGATCTACATTTGAAAAAATTTGATCTAATATTGGTCAATAAATATTTAGAAAGGTATCCAGTGAGAGCTGAACTTATCTAATGTAACGCAAATAATGATAAAATATTGAAATGTTTGATTAGTATATTAATGATTCAAAGTTTATCTCAACATCAGTAGTTTTAGATTTTTTGAAAAATGAAAATATTATTCTATTTGACGAAAATAAATTTTGCAATAATATAGTTGACCAATTAAACTTCGAAAGTAATTATTAAAGTATTTTTTAAAACCATTTAACAGAGAAAAATTTGAATATTATTACATATAAAATGATGATTTGTGAAGCACGATAAAATTGTATAAGATATAAGAATAATTTTATATTCTATTCCACAAATAAAATGAGTAATAATACTAAAAAATCTTCATTTCAAAGTTGTTTTTATATTTACTTAACCACTTTGCAATAATAATGATTATCTATAGATTATAAATTATGATACTATTTGTACATGACTATTTGAACAAATTTATTTTCAGATTTTTTATAAGCAGATGAAACCCTATTTGCCATAATATTTGGAAAATCTGTCTTTTAAAGTCGAGTAAATTATACCCCGACATTTTAAGATCATATCGTTTAATTAGATTAAGATTTTATACATACTGATTTGAAATAATTTCCCAAACAATATCAACTCACAATCATGCATTTTTATTTAATTTTTCTTTATTCAAATATTTTTAAATTATGTAATTAATAGTAAATGTATTCAATTATTTATAAAATTATGGAAACTTTAATTAAATATTGAATAATATTTAATATTTACAAAAAAATAATTTATAAATGTATAATTTATTTAAATATTATCACACATTTTTAGCAGTTAAAATTCGAAAATGTAACTTTTATTTAAATTATAAGTAGAAGATAGCTAAATATTTGACAGTGTAATTTTCACTGCAAAGCAATATAAAATTAGACAGACACCAAAATTTTCAGAGAAAATTGTTTGGAATTTGAAATGAAAATAAATTATAGTTAAAATTTTTTGGTTTATTATATTTTATTTTAATTTATAAAATTATTTTTATAACGATACTTCATATAAAAATAAATAAATTTCAACTAAATTCTGTTTATTAATTATTTACATTATATTGCCAATTTATGACAAAAAATTAATGCTTCGGAAATTTA